AATGTCTGACAGGATCAGAAATTTCTCCCCAAACCATACTCTCCCAAACTCTTCATTCATCTCATTCAATGGCAACTCTACCATTTCAGTTGCATGGACCCACTATGGTGATGTCTGACTCCTCATTTTCTTATAGACTCTACACTTAATCCATCAGCTTATCCTTTTAGTTTGATCCTCAAATCATTTCTCCATATCTGTTGTTCTACACTGACAAGCCTCCAGCCTATTATCACCCCATCTTATAATTCAGTAATTTACAGAGCATTCAGTGCAGCAATAAGCTAATCTTTACAAAACCAATAATTTAAATCATGTCATTCTATGCTTCATTCTCCCCCTCAAAATTTCCTCATCTCATATCAAAAGACAAAGTTTTTTTTTTTTATTGGTTGTTCAAAACATTACAAAGCTCTTGACATATCATATTTCATACATTAGATTCAAGTGGGTTATGAACTCCCATTTTTACCCCAATTACAGATTGCAGAATCACATCAGTTACACATCCACATTTTTACATGATGCCATATTCGTGACTGTTGTATTCTGCTACCTTTCCTATCCTCTATTATCCCCCCTCCCCTCCCCTCCCATCTTCTCTCTCTACCCCATCTACTACAATTCATTTCTCTCCTTGTTTTTTTTTTTTTTCCCATTCCCCTCACAACCTCTTATATGTAATTTTCTGTAACAATGAGGGTCTCCTTCCATTTCCATGCAATTTTCCTTTTCTTTCCCTTTCCCTCCCACCTCATAAAAGACAAAGTTTTTATGAAAGTTTTCCCAGGACTTATAGCAACTAGCTGCTGTTTCTTCTCTTAAGCACTCTTTACTGCTTGCTATCCTACTCAGTCTACTCCAAACATCTATTTCTTTTTGATCTTACAATTGTGGGCATACACTTATTGTTTTAGTCAGCTTTGTGTCAATGCAAACAAAAGATTTAACAGGAACAAGTTAGGGAGAGAAAGTTTATTTGGCACTCATAGTTTCAGAGGTCTCAGTGCACAGATAGCCAACTCCATTGTCCTGGACCCAAGGTAAGGCAGAACATGTTGAAAGGGCATGGAGGAGGAAAGCAGCTCAGGACATGGCAAACAGGAAGCAGAGACAAGGCCCCACTCACCAGGGAAAAAATATAAATGCCAGAAGAATGTCTCCAGTAATCTACTTTTCCAACCACATTCTACCTGCCTAAAATTATTGTCCAGTTAACCAACGGCTTAATACACTGACCAGGTTTATGATCTTATAACCCAATCCTTTCACCTCAGAACTTTCTTAAATTGTCTCACACAGGAGCTTTAGGGGAACGCCACATATCCAAACCATAACACTTGTGTTAGAAGTTACAGCTTCCCATTTCTCATAATGCTTATGTATAAATGACTCACCTGTTTTAATAATTTATCCAAATATCCTCTTTAGCCATCTTCTTAAAATTATAGAAAACACAGCTCTATATTTTTCATATTACTTTTCACCTAGTAAAATATGTATATGAAAAAAAGTGATTCTGCTCAAAGTTTGTTACAATACTTAAAAATATAGAGCAATAACCCCAAACTTAGAGAATTAGAATGACAATTATGATCTCAGTATTAAGGGTTCTAAGTGAGTGAGGGACACACATATATAGGTAACTATCAAATGTCTCTCTCTCTCTCTCTCTCTCTCTCACACACACACACACACACACACACAAATCAAATACAGGAGATTAATTGATAAGCATACTATACATTTGTTTATAGTGCAATAGTGCATGTATAGGTGATAATCTTGGTGATTACAAAAATAAGATAAAACATAAAATAGACAAAGGGGAGAAATGATTGTTGGGGCAAGACATTGGTTTAGTTTTAGATACTAAGTGAAAAGGTCCCATCTTCCTACCTTGGGTTTAAAGTATGAGGAACTAAGAAACTAGATTCTTTCACTCTCTGGTGACCCTTCTATTTGGAAATTTCAAATAATATTTAGGACAGGGTAACTTTAGCATAATACATTTTAAACAATTGTTCTTTTTAATTTTTTTCTTTTATCCATTTACAGATGGGTTGGTCACCTGTATTTTTATATCTCCTGCATCTTAAAAAATTGTAGTTTCAATTACATTTGATAGTATCTAATAAATGTAAACCTATGGTGTGAGAAATGACAAAGACAGAGTGCCTAACCACCGCTACTTGAAGTCCCCTAGGACTCGGGTTAATTAATGAGACTCATCCTAAGGTTATACATGATCTATTACTTCCTCTAATTAGAAATAATAATCCTGATCATTATGCTGGTTAGCTGGAAAGACGTAAGATGAATGTGCTTAACTATGATTAATAGTCTTCTTTAAGCAGTGTAGATCTCTCCTGTCACTGAGTTATATGCAAACTGGACTGCAACTCAATGCTTTTTTTATGATATGTAATTTTTAAAGCTTAGAGAAAAATTCATTTTCTGGTAGATGTTTTTGGCTTTTCTGGTTAAAAACCAAAACAACCTTTTTACCATTTTAAAATCGATCATTATAACACAATCTTTTACCATTTTGCATGAAATAACTATCTCAAAATTTATCATTTTACTTTTTTGTATTTTCTCCAAATTATATGAATACTTATGGGGATCCATTCTGCTGGGATAAAACAGACTTTTGCACATGATAATATACCAATTCACAAAAACTGAAAATTTATTATAACATTACAATATCAGTTATTTACTGCTGTTTTGTTAAGGCTGATGTCTACATTTTGCCTACTGACAACTTCAGCTTACACTTTCATATGCCAAAAAAAGCTAAAACAAGTAAATACCTGCTTGGAGAAGCCCACACATCCATAGAGAATGTTAATCATCTAGGGTTTTTAATGTGACTAATTTAGTTATAATATGGCCAAATATTTCAGAATCATTTTAAATTAAAAGATAGAACTTATGTTGCTATCTCAATTTAAACCTTTAAGATACTGTGCATATACCATTTAATTTTGGTTTTGAATATGGAAAAATTCAGACATGATTACTTAAATCTTAAGAGGCTGAGTCTACAAAAGTTATAGTTGTAGTGAATATATGATTTTTATCTCAATACCTCAAGCAATATTAGAATACTTGGGAGAACAAGGCAGTCAGAATTTTGGCAGTTACACATATGTTTAAATTTATTGAGCAAAGAGACAGGTTGTCTCAAGAGTAAAACACAGAATATGAGTCAGAGAGTCCTTATTCAGTACTAGGCTTTATCAATGAATGACAGGTTCGCCTTGGGAAAGTTACCCTACTTCTTAGTATTAATATAATTTTGAAAATGGTGATAACTATAAGGGCATTGATCTCATGTTTCTTTTGAGAATGAAAACAGGCTAATATGTATAAAATATCACCATAATGCATAGGTTATACTAAACAGTGATAAAAGATAACATGCTTCTTTTCCATCACGAGAAATATGTACCTCGCTTTGACTGAAATATACTTGGATTTCAAAACCAGTATTTTGTTTAATCAATTTTATGGCAAGAACTCAGTGTGACTAAAATTTTAAATTTATCAATATTTCCAATTGATACATTAAATTCAAATGTTAATTTTTAAATAATTTTTTATAAGATCAGTGAAATTTCTTTGCTATCAAAATTGTGAAAAAATTAGAACAAATATATGTATTAATTAAAAAAATTGTGGACAGATTTCATATTTGAGAACTTCAATGAGATGCTATGTTAAATACATAGATATGATTTCTGAAAATTACTTTTTGAGTTAGTCTTTCATAATTGAATCATGAAATCTGATGCATAATAATTTTATATTTCATAATTCTCTTTTTACAATTTTGTTAATAATTTATGAGATTTTCTATTTGAAATGTGTTTTAATAGATCAAAAAAGATCCCTTATTATATATTTGTAAGCAATAATTACTAAAGTTTCTATGAGTTATTCAAGACAATGAATAAGCAAATATTTAGGCATGTATTATGTACTCTTAATTGTGCTTGTAAATTGAAAAATAGAAAAAGATGTAACATGTTTTCACCGATAAAACAATAAATTGTAATAAACATAATAAAATTGATTAAAATCAATAATATGTTAAAATCAATCACATACATTGAATGCAAGTATATGACATAAACTGTATGTTAAGTGTTTGGTTAAGTTTTCCTGGACAATGTGAAATTTGAAGCATATTGTTAAGGAAAGGAATAAGCAATTGAAAGAAACATATAGATAGAAAAATTAAAAATCAACTTCCCAATTTCATAGATTAAGCTCATTTTGTTGACTGTTTACATTTTGGAGTTAAAAGTAGAGGTAAATACATAAAATATATTTACTCTATAAAGTAACTTGAAATGCAGATGGAAAGAAATGCTCTTTTGATATCAGAGATCACAGAGAAAATACACAGGTTTTTAAAGTACTAGAAAAAGTTTAGCTACATGTGTTTAAACTAGAGATATATATGGTTTTTAATTTTTATTTAAAACTTTGAAGTATATGGATAAATTATAATAAAATTTCTTTATAATTTATTTAGGAAAAAAAAATATAACCATACAAATAGAGTTCCTTTTTTTTCTTTCCTAAATAATAGTTTTACAATAAAAATTACTCCTCAAAATCATACCCATACTTAGTATATATACAAATGAAGAGAGAATAGGAGAGAACATACTTGTAAATGACACATGTGTATATAATAAATGTGTATATTTAGTATTAATTTGAAAAAACTTTTAGATTGACAAAAGACTTTTCCAATTTGAGTTTAATGGAGATAACATCATAAATGATTAATCTAACCAGAATGTCACTCTGTCAATCAACTATAAGACTGACATCTTGATAAATTAATAACAATCTTTCTGAAACAGTCTACTGAGCTAACATAAATGTTAAATAAATGTGTTGATAACTGAACATATGCTGTTCTTAGAACATAAGAGGAACAAACATAAAATCCACTAAGATTTGTATTTAAAAAGTCATACCTGTAGGCCTTGTCCATCGACAGTAACAGAGTTGGCTCTTTGCATTTTGTTCCTATCAGATCCTTTGTTTGGCTGCTGGGAACCACTCTTTTCCTTTTTCACTGTTGCTTGTCTTTCCTGTAAGAAAAGTATTTTATAAAAATAAAATTAACATAAGAAAATATTTCACTAGAAGATGCAACTAATAAATATCTCATGGTTACAAACTGAGGCCCAACTTCCTAATTTGGAGTTGCTACTACATAATACGAAAACTATTTCTTTAACTGGCTCCATGTATGTGATAGTTACATGATGAAAAAAAATATATCAGTTAAAGAAACAATGCAAAAGAAAGCCAAATTGGAATTATTTCTATGTGTCCAATTATTGCTCTTTATCAAAAGTTATTCACAAACAATGGGATATATAAATATTATAGGATTATCACTTGAAGAATTTGGTAAAGAGTGCTAACATAATGCTCTTAAAGATATGCAATCTTGTAAACAAATTCTAATTGCATGATGGATTTTGAAGATACTACTTACATCAGGGGTGGCATTTAAACAAAAACTCCCATTCAGCCCCAGCTAATTCTTTAGTTCATATATATTTAGGAGTTGTCTGTTTCCTTTTTTTCACTCTCCCTACAACCCAGCCCAATCAACTTTTATCACCACTGCCTGAGCTTTTATTCAAATGACCAATAACCTTCTCATGTCGCATCTAATAGCCACGATTTACTCAAACTTTAAGCAACATTTGATAGAGGGGATCTCTTCTCACTTCTTGAAAACTTGCCTCAATTTGCTTTCAGCACACTTCTTTGTCTTAGCTCTCTTCTTACTTCATTCACTGCTCCCTCACAGTCTCTTTCACTCATTTTTCCTCCAGCTTTGCCACCTATAAGACTTAGCCTCTTCTTTAGACCTCAGCTTCATTTCATCATTAGGCTTTCAAATTCAATTTTATGAAGACTTCTAAATGCATAACTCTTGATTCAGAACTCTCCCTCAATTCCTATAAATAAATGCCCTTTCTGTCTTTCCATGTATCAGTCCTTGGACAGTTACCACTTCCATTATCATGTGGCTCATGTGATAGTTCTCTCTTTTGCCTGGATTATTATCACCATCACCTAAGGGGTCAATCTCCTTCCAGCTTTGTCTCTCTGTAGTCAATTTTTTTACACAACAGCAACATTCATTCCTTTTTACTTCACTTCAGCAACTCTGGCCAACTCATTGCTCCTTGATCACAACAATCCTGCTTTTAATTCAGGGATTTTGCAATCATTTCGCACTCTGCTGGAACATTTTCCCCTGTGTATTTGCTGCGTTTGGTCCTGACATCATGTCTTTGGTCAAATATCAGATAGCCTTCTCTATTTCCTTTAACCTCCTTTTAAATATAATTTATTACAACCTGAATGGTTATTTATGTGATTTATTGAATGCTTGTGTTCTTCATGTTAATCAGAGTCCCACAGGGAAAGAATTTTCTTTGGATCACAGGTCTGTGTTAGATCCTAGATCAGTGCCTGACAGAAGACAGAATAAATGAATAAAGATATAAACTCAAAATGTTAAAAAAAATCGTTTTTAAAAAAGTACCTAGATAATTGTGCTTAGGATTTGGGGGCCATGTCTAGGCTTGATGTGAAAAAGTTGTTCTGATTAGCAATGCCTGGCTAAGGGTGCCTATGTGCTTTAGTGACACTTATTTCCAATAAACTCATCCAGATATATATTTCCTAGTCCCTGTATCTACTTGTTAAGTATCATTTAAATTTCTGTAACTTAGAAAGATGTTTTTAAATAGCTTCAAATGTAAGCTCTTTTTAAAACCTATTAGTGATAGATAGATCAGAAATCTCTTTTGACGAAAATAAATGCTAATCAGTGTAGTCTAGTCATCTTGCAATTGCATGGTGCAAAAACACTGAATACATTTTGTGTATGTTGAAAATGGATGGTATAATAGAATTCCTGATATTCAAGTTCTTTGGAAAATGATGTGCTTTCATATAAGCATAATTTCTGGCAAAAATATTGATTTTTTAAAAAGAAAGTTCCTTCTTTCTAAACTTGCAAATTACAATTTTATCCATATTGTAAACAGTATAATGCATAAGAAGAGGAAACCTGACTTGAATCCCATCTCTGTTACTTAGAGATGTAATATAGACACCTACTCTTAACAAAATGGATAGTGTTTTCTATTTCTCAGAGTTGTTTAAGGTTTAATAGAAAATCTATAAAGTCTTTACCAATGTGTTTGTATTATAGTATGTGCTCAATAAATTAAAGTAGGAATGGTTCCTCATGGCAGGCCTTATCTGTATTGCCACCCTGCAAAATGGTTTCATATTTTCAAATACATATATATGAAAAAATTACATTGGTTAAATTAGGAATATGTTTGAATAAGAATAATGCTTATATTTTAAAATGTATAACCTGTGCTGGGAGTTAAAAATACAAAATTGGTGAAAATGGAAATAGTTTATTTCAGGGTCCTTTGATGTATGTATATATAACATAGAATGAATATTTTGTAAAAATGTACAATATGAAAGATATATTTGAATGCAACTATTTTGTTACATAATGCATTTAAAAATTTATTTAGGACTTGATTCTTAAATTGCTTCAATGAGAAGAATCAAATAAAATTCAAGTTTATTAGTTACACTAGAACTGGGTATTTATACCAGATCATGTATATATGTTACATGTAAAACCTAAGATATGTATGTATATATCTATAAAGAGCTAACAAATCATCTATCAACCTTATTTTATTCTAGTCCGTGAAAAGAACTAGGAACTGCCTATGTGGTAAGAACTTCTAGCTAGCAGAGAGAGCAGTTTTTTTCTGGTTTCTTGTCCATGAAGGAGTCATAATTCTGAGCATGCTGAGAAGAAGAAGACTAAATGTTTTAGAGCACACTAGTGTAAAAAAAATCCTAAAATGAGTTTTCAATTGATGAGGTTTTATTTTTGAATTCTAATCTGAGATATTAATTTATAGCAAATCAATTTTAAAAATCCTCATCATATAAATATTTATATGTATTTTATTATAAAATCTAGCTAATACTAAATGGTAAACATTCATTTAAACATACACATACATCAAGAAAACCAATTGATTTCTTTGGGAGAAAAATGCCAGTAAGTAAAATTATGGAATAAATCAAGGTTGAAATTTTAAAAACAGAAGAGACTTGTGGTCATTTAATTTTCCCCAGGATTCTCTTATTTTTATTTTTGACTCTTATAGGGGTCTGTCTGGGATATTCACTGTATTTTATTTAAGCAACTAGTGAACAGGAGGGTAGTTGGATACATTTTCCTATTTCTATTGAGGAAATCTTATTTTTGTATGAGGTACAGAAAAGGAAAGCAATTGCATTCTTCAAAAAATATGCTGTCCTCAAGGATTTCACTAGCTTGTTCAGGGGGTTAATTAACCCTGACTGGCAAAGCTCCACTGTGATATTTAAGAAGAGTTATTTCCCAATTGTTACAGTTATTAAAAAGTTTCAGTAAGAACTCACAAACCTTATTTTGTATTATCAATCAGGATAAAATTACTCTGTGAGTAATAGGGGGCAATGTTCACCATTTAACCTTCAGTTTCTTTTTTTAAGATTTTGGGCTCAAAACCACAAAATAAATTACAATGTTATAATTAAGGCAAATTTCCTTCTGCCAGATAAATTATCCTAGATATAAAGATTTGGAAAATTGTCTTGTTAATCAATAGAAATTATTCAAACACTGAAAAGAACTACTGAACAAAAAACGCTTGAAAGAATATAGAACATATAATACAAAATATAAAATACATTTATTGATGTTTGAACATTTTCAAATATCAACCATTTGTGTTTGCTATGCAGACATTTTAAATACAAAATTCAGGGTTTTGTGATCGTTGGACACTACAAGTAGCACAACAGATCTTGAGTGGGGAATATATTGTATTAGAATTCCAAAAGAATAATCAACATAATAAACAGACAAGAAAAGCCAAAGAAACCATTCACAGAAAACAGAAAGATGAAATAAGTGAAATAAAAAGACCTCACTTTAAATATGTGTTCTAAAAAAAAAAAAAACTTTTTCTATATCATGCTGATTCTCAGAGGTAGAGTATTTGTACATTGGTGAAAACTGCTTTCTCAAAAGGGTTGTTTACCACAATACATAAGCCTGCTGCTATCGATCACTGGAAAACTAGAAGCAGCAAGTGATGATTACTTTGAGATTTTCTCCTTTTTGTCCAAACTCAGCATGAGAGACAGACAGCAGAAAAGCACCTGGACTGGGATAAAGCTATGAAGTGCTTTGCTGCCAACAGCTTCCATCCCTCAGATCCTGGAACTTACTCTCTCTGCTACTGTACAACTTGTGGTAAGAAGACAAATCTGGCTATTCCTGTCAATGGAGCTAGGGCATAAGAATCTCCCAGAAACCTCAGAATCTTAACCCCAGGTATCAAGTACATATTCGTAGTATTTAAGGTGTCTCTCACCATATTCATCAGAGCTCTCAAAAGAACTCTGAGAAAACAACTTGTATCTACAAAGCTACAACTTTATTAGTGTGGATTATTTGGGGTTTTGAATATTTTACTAGCTAAGAGAAAAAAATCCATTCTAAAAAGTGGCAAAGGTTCTAAATCTACTAGGAATCCTTGGATGTTGCCTCAAAACTGATTGCTGACTAGAGAAGTCGCATTAATTCTTAAAAATATTTTATAAAGTTTTCAACATAAATATAGTAAGTGATAGGTCTAAAGATTATCATTTTAAGAAAATTAAATAAGTTCATATTGAAACAGAAATAACTTTGGGCAAAGACAAATGTCTGAGCATCTGAGCATTGTCTCATTATTTTGTAAACTTGGGCAACTTATTTACCATTATTAGGTCACCATTTATTCCACCTTTAAACTGGAAAGTTTCATGTAAAGATAAATGGAAATAAAGGTTGACTTAAAATACGTACTCAGTAAATGGCAATATTTTTTGAAGTACAAAGACATATCATTTTATTATTAAGATCATCACAAGTATGTTATTCAGGTCATAGTAGTAAATGGTGGGTGTTGTAGAGAAGAAATTC